ATTCAATTCTGGATTAAAAGTAACTTTTTCCCATGAATAACAGTTTTTCAGGTGACTTGATTTTCGAGAAAAAAGTAAGGCTATAGGCTTAGAAAAATTGTGAATTTTTTTCGAAATTTTTTTCTCAAAAAATACAACTAATTCGCTTTTATATGATCAGAATAAAAGAGAAATGGATTCAATTCTGGATTAAAAGTAGCTTTTTCCCATGAATAACAGTTTTTCAGGTGACTCGATTTTCGAGAAAAAAGTAAGGCTATAGGCTTAGAAAAATTGTGAATTTTTTCGAAAATTTTTTTCTCAAAAATCCAACTAATTCGCTTTTATATGATCAGAATAAAAGAGAAATGGATTCAATTCTGGATTAAAAGTAGCTTTTTCCCATGAATAACAGTTTTTCAGGTGAGTCGATTTTCGAGAAAAAAGTAAGGCTATAGGCTTAGAAAAATTGCGAATTTTTTCGAAAATTTTTTTCTCAAAAATCCAACTAATTCGCTTTTATATGATCAGAATAAAAGAGAAATGGATTCAATTCTGGATTAAAAGTAGCTTTTTCCCATGAATAACAGTTTTTCAGGTGAGTCGATTTTCGAGAAGAAAGTAAGGCTATAGGCTTAGAAAAATTGTGTATTTTTTTCGAAATTTTTTTTCTCAAAAATCCAACTAATTCGCTTTTATATGATAAGAATAAACAATAAATTGATTCAATTCTGGATTAAAAGTAGCTTTTTCCCATGAATAACAGTTTTTCAGGTGACTCGATTTTCGAGAAAAAAGTAAAGCTATAGGCTTAGTAAAATTGTGAATTTTTTCGAAAATTTTTTTCTCAAAAATCCAACTAATTCGCTTTTATATGATCAGAATAAACAATAAATTGATTCAATTCTGGATTAAAAGTAGCTTTTTCCCATGAATAACAGTTTTTCAGGTGAGTCGATTTTCGAGAAAAAAGTAAGGCTATAGGCTTAGAAAAATTGCGAATTTTTTCGAAAAATTTTTTCTCAAAAATCCAACTAATTCGCTTTTATATGATCAGAATAAAAGAGAAATGGATTCAATTCTGGATTAAAAGTAACTTTTTCCCATGAATAACAGTTTTTCAGGTGACTTGATTTTCGAGAAAAAAGTAAGGCTATAGGCTTAGAAAAATTGTGTATTTTTTTCGAAATTTTTTTTTTTCAAAAATCCAACTAATTCGCTTTTATATGATCAGAATAAAAGAGAAATGGATTCAATTCTGGATTAAAAGTAACTTTTTCCCATCAATAACAGTTTTTCAGGTGACTTGATTTTCAAAAAAAGTAAGGCTATAGGCTTGGAAAAATTGTGTATTTTTTTCGAAATTTTTTTTTCTCAGAAATCCAACTAATTCGCTTTTATATAATCAGAATGAAAGAGAAATGGATTCAATTCTGGATTAAAAGTAACTTTTTCCCATGAATAACAGTTTTTCAGGTGACTTGATTTTCGAGAAAAAAGTAAGGCTATAAGCTTGGAAAAATTGTGTATTTTTTTCGAAATTTTTTTTTCTCAAAAATCCAACTAATTCGCTTTTATATAATCAGAATGAAAGAGAAATGGATTCAATTCTGGATTAAAAGTAACTTTTTCCCATGAATAACAGTTTTTCAGGTGACTTGATTTTCGAGAAAAAAGTAAGGCTATAGGCTTAGAAAAATTGTGAACTTTTTCGAAAATTTTTTTCTCAAAAATCCAACTAATTCGCTTTTATATGATCAGAATAAAAGAGAAATGGATTCAATTCTGGATTAAAAGTAACTTTTTCCCTTGAATAACAGTTTTTCAGGTGACTTGATTTTCGAGAAAAAAGTAAGGCTATAGGCTTAGAAAAATTGTGAATTTTTTTCGAAAATTTTTTTCTCAAAAAATACAACTAATTCGCTTTTATATGATCAGAATAAAAGAGAAATGGATTCAATTCTGGATTAAAAGTAGCTTTTTCCCATGAATAACAGTTTTTCAGGTGAGTCGATTTTCGAGAAAAAAGTAAGGCTATAGGCTTAGAAAAATTGTGTATTTTTTTCGAAATTTTTTTTCTCAAAAATCCAACTAATTCGCTTTTATATGATAAGAATAAACAATAAATTGATTCAATTCTGGATTAAAAGTAGCTTTTTCCCATGAATAAAAGTTTTTCAGGTGACTCGATTTTCGAGAAAAAAGTAAGGCTATATGCTTAGAAAAATTGTGAATTTTTTCGAAAATTTTTTTCTCAAAAATCCAACTAATTCGCTTTTATATGATCTGAATAAAAGAGAAATGGATTCAATTCTGGATTAAAAGTAGCTTTTTCCCATGAATAACAGTTTTTCAGGTGAGTCGATTTTCGAGAAAAAAGTAAGGCTATAGGCTTAGAAAAATTGCGAATTTTTTCGAAAATTTTTTTCTCAAAAATCCAACTAATTCGCTTTTATATGATCAGAATAAAAGAGAAATGGATTCAATTCTGGATTAAAAGTAGCTTTTTCCCATGAATAACAGTTTTTCAGGTGAGTCGATTTTCGAGAAGAAAGTAAGGCTATAGGCTTAGAAAAATTGTGTATTTTTTTCGAAATTTTTTTTCTCAAAAATCCAACTAATTCGCTTTTATATGATAAGAATAAACAATAAATTGATTCAATTCTGGATTAAAAGTAGCTTTTTCCCATGAATAACAGTTTTTCAGGTGACTCGATTTTCGAGAAAAAAGTAAAGCTATAGGCTTAGTAAAATTGTGAATTTTTTCGAAAATTTTTTTCTCAAAAATCCAACTAATTCGCTTTTATATGATCAGAATAAACAATAAATTGATTCAATTCTGGATTAAAAGTAGCTTTTTCCCATGAATAACAGTTTTTCAGGTGAGTCGATTTTCGAGAAAAAAGTAAGGCTATAGGCTTAGAAAAATTGCGAATTTTTTCGAAAATTTTTTTCTCAAAAATCCAACTAATTCGCTTTTATATGATCAGAATAAAAGAGAAATGCATTCAATTCTGGATTAAAAGTAACTTTTTCCCATGAATAACAGTTTTTCAGGTGACTTGATTTTCGAGAAAAAAGTAAGGCTATAGGCTTAGAAAAATTGTGTATTTTTTTCGAAATTTTTTTTTTTCAAAAATCCAACTAATTCGCTTTTATATGATCAGAATAAAAGAGAAATGGATTCAATTCTGGATTAAAAGTAACTTTTTCCCATCAATAACAGTTTTTCAGGTGACTTGATTTTCAAAAAAAGTAAGGCTATAGGCTTGGAAAAATTGTGTATTTTTTTCGAAATTTTTTTTTCTCAGAAATCCAACTAATTCGCTTTTATATAATCAGAATGAAAGAGAAATGGATTCAATTCTGGATTAAAAGTAACTTTTTCCCATGAATAACAGTTTTTCAGGTGACTTGATTTTCGAGAAAAAAGTAAGGCTATAGGCTTAGAAAAATTGTGAATTTTTTCGAAAATTTTTTTCTTAAAAATCCAACTAATTCGCTTTTATATGATCAGAATAAAAGAGAAATGGATTCAATTCTGGATTAAAAGTAACTTTTTCCCATGAATAACAGTTTTTCAGGTGACTTGATTTTCGAGAAAAAAGTAAGGCTATAGGCTTAGAAAAATTGTGAATTTTTTTCGAAAATTTTTTTCTCAAAAAATACAACTAATTCGCTTTTATATGATCAGAATAAAAGAGAAATGGATTCAATTCTGGAATAAAAGTAACTTTTTCCCATGAATAACAGTTTTTCAGGTGACTTGATTTTCGAGAAAAAAGTAAGGCTATAGGCTTAGAAAAATTGTGAATTTTTTTCGAAAATTTTTTACTCAAAAAATACAACTAATTCGCTTTTATATGATCAGAATAAAAGAGAAATGGATTCAATTCTGGATTAAAAGTAGCTTTTTCCCATGAATAACAGTTTTTCAGGTGAGTCGATTTTCGAGAAAAAAGTAAGGCTATAGGCTTAGAAAAATTGCGAATTTTTTCGAAAATTTTTTTCTCAAAAATCCAACTAATTCGCTTTTATATGATCAGAATAAAAGAGAAATGGATTCAATTCTGGATTAAAAGTAGCTTTTTCCCATGAATAACAGTTTTTCAGGTGAGTCGATTTTCGAGAAGAAAGTAAGGCTATAGGCTTAGAAAAATTGTGTATTTTTTTCGAAATTTTTTTTCTCAAAAATCCAACTAATTCGCTTTTATATGATAAGAATAAACAATAAATTGATTCAATTCTGGATTAAAAGTAGCTTTTTCCCATGAATAACAGTTTTTCAGGTGACTTGATTTTCGAGAAAAAAGTAAGGCTATAGGCTTAGAAAATTTTTGGATTTTTTCGTGAAATTTTTTTTCAGAAAACCAGCTAATTCTCTTATACATGATCAGAAAAGGCAAGAGGTGAATTTAGTACTGGAATGAAAGTCGCTTTTTTACCAAAAAACACAATTTTAGTCGGCTGGAATTTTCATAAAGAAGGAATGGTGTAGATTAAAAAAAGTTGTTCACTGTTTTCGAAAAATTTTTCTTCTGAAGGCCTGTTAATTCGCTTATGTATGATAAGATAAAAAAATTGAATTTAGCTTGACCACTAAAGTCGTATTTTTGAATCATTATCTGAATTATTTGTTCCATTGCCGAGAATGCCTTGAAAAAATAAAATTGTTTTGACCTAATTAATTCTATTGAATAGCATCTGAGAAGAATTCTTTACTTTTTAAAGCAGTCTATCCGTTGAAAAATGCTTCCTTAAAAATTATACAATTTTTTTTGTTCAAAAACTGAAACCCACTACTTTTATCAAACCTGAGATTTCTCTGGACACTATTTTCATCAACAATTGTATCATTTTTGTGGTTACTTTTTAAATGGAATCGTTAAAAGCGTCACAATCTGCAAAATACTGCCATTGTGGCATCAATTTAATCTCTCTTTTTTGAAACGCTGTAAGAAACAAGTCTAGTAGTTTCTTTTGTGCTGGATTTTGTCCAGTTTGGTGTAAAATGTCGGTTCATGCAGACATACATTGAGAAATCAAATGAAAATTTTAAGATAGTGTTAATGAATTTCATTCAAATTCATTCAATGTCATATTTTCTTAAATCTTAGACAATTCGGAGGTAAAGAAGCTACCTTACGGAATAAATTTAAATAATATTACACGAGAATCGAAATACTCTATTTAAAATTTACTTTATATCAGTCTGGTAACTAATATGTACATCACATATATTTTTTAACATAGAATGGAATTCTTGCATTCAAAACTTTCTACGTTAGAATGGAATTAGCTACAATAAGTGGTTGATGTAGATTTGATTTTATTCATAAGACCATAAGCCATAAAATTCTCTTTGGCGATAAATTTTGAGTATCTAAACCGTGTTTCTATAAATAATATTGTAGAAGTGATGGAAATAAAATTCAAGGATTGAGAAGGCAATTGCTTTCAGGTCGGTAAAAACCCGATAGCAACAAAAGAGCGAAAGTGCAATGAAAATTATTTTGGGATTGTTTGAGATTCATTGGGATAACTGAGTTGTCTCGAATCGCCTGGGAAAGTTGCCAAATGTATATCATCTATGACAAAGGAAGTTTACGTTTGGCGAGTCTTTCTAGGATCTGATGGCGTAGTATTTAATGAATGCGTCAGACCTTTCGCTACGCACGGCTAGCGTTTATGTAAAAGACGATGAAATGGGATAACTGTACAATACTCGAATAGTTCTTGGAAGGAACAAATCTTACTTGAGCAGCATTCATCATAATAAGAGACGTCCCTTGAAGTTGCTCGTCGTCTTCTCGATCGAAGAGAGGATTTCAGAAAGCTTAGAGCTTGTTTCGATTCACTGATGATATTTGCTAAAACGAGAAAAGAGGTTAACTGAGGGATTTTGACATTACAGGATTTCAAGAAGCTCTCTAAATTCTCTAAATCATATCGTAAATTTTATCAATAACAGAGCTTTGATAATATCACTGTTATAATTAGTCAGATGGCCAAAATATATTTTGCAAATGTTCTCTAGAATACTTCAAGAAGCAATATGACACAAAACTTCTAAAGAATCATTGGCAAATTTTCACTTGATTTTTTATCGAAATATATGGCCATTCAAAGTAGTTTAGAAATAAAATTTTGACAGACAGTGTATTTTGAGATAAATTGAGAAACTGAACGTCCGAGAACATTAGTGGAGGGTATTCAATTTACGGCTATACGAGCAATATTGCTCTTTCAGGACTTATTTTGACAGTATTTTTAGATTAAACTTGACATTAGACACATTGTCGATATATTAAACATATAGAAATATAGATACAAATACCCACATTATTTACAGACAAAAAATAGCCTACGAACTGTTAAGATTATGAAGCAATGACAATAATTTTGTTTGTTTTGCATCATCATGAACTGCAGCCTAACTAGCTACTTTTCATATTCGCAGCATCAAGAAGAGCATTACAACAAAGAAAACTTACAAGGACTCTCAGCATCCCTCCGATATCTTCGTCCGTAAAACGCGGTGCATATTGGTGCAAGAAATTCAGTCAAATCGTAGTAATTACAGATCTGGTGATGCATTTTCAGATGTTGAAAATCATGCCCATCGGCACCAAAAACGGAGCAAACAACAATAACAACGATCAGTATCGGAGAAACAGACTTCATTGTCTTCACCTGACAAAGAAAAAATAAGATTTAGTATCAATTTAAAGTTTAGTTAGAACAACTGCTGCCCATTTTGTAGCTGTTGCTGAATTTCAAAAATTGTTTTGAGATGAAACCAGTGGCGGAAACTAAGCATTTTGGGTAATATGACGATCGCAGTAAATTTATAATGTTTATTCCTCGAGTAGCTTTCTCTCTTGTATTTCCTTACAAAGAACATCTGGTTTTTTATGTTAATTGTCCGATTCATGGAAGGTGAGAATGAATGGAAGGTGGATCGAATGGAAGGACCAGGACACTGCTTGACAAACATAGTTCTCAGTGTCCTAGGTAGTAACAAATAAGTACAAATCACGCCTACTTGACATAATAAAAGCGTTTTTAGAATTAGAAGGCTTTCTCGACATAAGCTCATAATTAAGCATGATTTCTGATAGGACAAATGATGCTCCTTTTCTGCAAAAGATAGCAAGGCTGTCATTCTTTGGTGTGGAGATAGAATGAATCTGTGGACTGTGCAAAAACATCTCAAATAAGAAAGGCAAAAATTGCTCAAACTGATATCATGTTTGATAAAATATGAACAATATATTGATTTGAATACGAAGCAGAAGCTACTAATAAAAAATAATCTTTTTCCAACCTTTCAACTAATTCTGCTACCAAAACCTAGCAGGCACACATCAAACTCATAATCGAAAACAAAATTGTATTTCATAAGGTGTTATTTCAATATTTTTTGCGAACAATCCGGGACAGTCGAGAGCTAGCTTATTGATATCCTGGTACAGTCATCCTTTTTACCTACACGGGCTAAACATTTTTCACCCGCCAAACATTTCACAAGGATTTAAAATCACAATACGATAGGCATATTTCCAGCTAAAATCCGTATCTCATGTCCTTTGATTCTGCACAGGCAGTGCTATTACACTTTATCAATGTCAGGCTTAGGTATAGTGAATTCAATGGCCTCCCAGAGAAGGGTAATAGTTACCCCCGCTCAAGACTTAATCGCAGCTCTAATTTTCTAGATAAACTGTCTTCTTTCACTACAGTGGTGTTATTATGCATAAAAATATATTAAATAAGAGCGTTGAATCACAGATCTCGCTGTTTTCACGTACCTGGAAAAGAGTGAAAAGAGTAGCTTGCAACGTCTGACTTTCAAAGCCTTTTCTTATTGTTTTCCCACCAGCGCCTTATATATAACCTATCACCATTCACTATTCATTTGGTAAATGTTTTTACGTGGATTCTGGAAACTAGAGATACCACAATTAGCCCGTTGCTAATTAATTAAAAATTAAACTAACAGCAGCACATGAAAAGCACGCGCGTCGAACGTTTCCAACGTGATTGTCCTTTGAATTCATTGATATTGTTTTGATTCAAAGCTGTACCGACCGAAATAGCATGTTACATCATTGAGAACGGTTTTCCGATTCATACCACTTACTGCAGAGTAAAACTCCGGCAAACATTGACAATGCCTTTTCAACAATGCCAGCAAAACTCTCACGGCTAACTTCCAACATGCCTCTACCTCGTCGTTAAGCAGGGGTGTAGCGTTAGCAAAATAATAACGGGGGCTCTTGCGCAAAATGTTTAAAAAAGCAATGGAATAAGTAGAAATTGGCTACTTATAGGCGTTGACAAGGGGGCTAGCCCTTAGCACTATACCCCTATATTTGTTTGAGTAAAAAATGCGTATTGTTACTGCCCACAGTTAAAGTGTTAAAGGCAGCTTCGGTTAAACAGAAAGTTCCAGTTGCAGTGGCTTGCAGTGAATGCAAAAAATCAATTTATCATATTATTTCGCTTCAGGACTATAAAACTTGAACTAAAGAATGATTTTCAGTTTATTGCCAGACAATTCCAAATTGAAAAAAAACAAGTTGCAGAATTTCAAAGGATAGTTATCAGTTTGAAAAATGATATTGAATTGTTGGAAGCGCCCTCAAACCACCTAGGTTGTGTTCCTCAAATGACGCCAACGAACGTTGCAAAAGGGTCAAATTCCCTGTTTGTATGTCAGTGTTTTTAAAAACAGAAATAAAAACATGAAAATATTGGCGCTTCTTGAGAATTCCACCCGTTGTGGCTAAAGATAATCCTTCGATTGCCTATTGGGACAACGTGCTCCAAGTTTTGACTTGACGCGTATTGTCATAACTTGCGTTAATGGGCAGACAAAAGCATGAATCGTCGGAAACAATATACCTCTCGGCAATGTGAGTTGTGACGTAATTGGAAATTCAAGAGGAAGCCAAAGAAATATTCGCTTGCTTGGTCAATTTTCCGTTTCACCTGGTAGATTCTTTTAATAGCTATTTTAAGTCCTGGAATAAGCCCCACTTTCAAATGAGCCCCCTCCCTCTTATAAGCCCTACCTAGAAGCATTTTGTGACACTTTTGGTTGTTTCAGGTCAGACAAAGGACATTATCACCGTTTCGTAAAGCAATGTATTTGCCCCTTGTATTCACCTGGTACTGCACATTATTTTGATTGCTACTTTAAGTCCTCAAACAAGCTCCCACCTTTGAACGAGCCCCCTCTCTCTTATGAGCCCCACCCAGAAGTATTTTTGTGACATATCTGGTTGCTTCAAATCAGACAAAAGGCATTGTCGCCGTTTCGTGAGGCAAGGTCTTCTCCCATGAGTTGAAGTCCAATTAAAAATATAAAAATTTCATATTAAAAATAAATTAGCATTTACAGGGCTATTCTTTGATACATTCGTGCTGTCAATTTACTTTTTTGCACAGAATCAGCGAGGTCAACGTGCCTTAGAATTATTGCTCCCTATACCTTTTTCAATGCTTTTTACCTCTCCTAAGTGACCAAATCTAAAACCAAACCACATCCTTTCATTACACTGATCCCCGATGTACATGCTCACTAATATCTTTCCATTGATTGTTAAAAGTTGACACACCTGGCCCATTAACTACCCTTATCTTTCAAGGGTCTTCTTATAATCATCCCTCAGGCATCTTTGCACCAACAATTAAACACCTAACAATCGTCGTTTTTTACATAGAATGGCTTTTTTGAATTGGCATAGGAATCTTGACTCTTGAAGAATGCAGGCTGGTGAGTTATCGAGAAAGTATTTTGTTCAGGAAAAGGAAATGTTACTTTTTTAATAGAAAAGTAGTCAACAATAACTGTTTCATTTCTCAAGTGGCAATCCACTTGGACCACAGCTGGGCAGTTTGTCCAAAACAAAGGCTCGTGACTGACTTTATTTACCAACTTAGATTTTTCAAGCTTCCATTTTGTCTCAATGTACCAAGTATAAGAGCACATATGCGCCACGTCAAGGTTGTACGTCAGAATATCTACCAAGTACCACAATATTTGCATACAAAATGAAAACTTGCGAATTGACCTAAAAAGAATTTCCGCCTCATATTTTGTATCGAACGTTAAGTGAAAACAACTTCAAACGTCTCTGCATTTTACGTATCCTAAAAAGGAAAACTTTGAATTCATTTGAGCTTTTTGAAAGATATGTAATGTTTAACAGGGTTCAAATCTCAGATGTACTGGTGAAACCGATTTTTGCATTAACGAAAACTGCTACATGTGTTTTGTGCTACGGCAAAACAGGAAAATATTTTTTTCAGTTTTCATTTTATTTGCATTGACGAAAGGAATTTGTTATTTTCGATTTGATATTTGCTATTATAGCATAATTAGCTAGGGCGCGAGAGTAATGTGTCTTGGAAAAGGTGGGGATGTTTGTTAATCCTTTAGAGTTGATAAAATCATCACAACTGTATCTAATTCAGCAGAAGGATCCGGCAAATGTTTCGGAAATAACAAAATGCATGCAGCTCAAATTCTGCCATTCCTCCAGCTTTTTTTAAAACGATGAACTTTTAAATTACATAGAACTACTGCAATGCAAAATTAACTCCACTGTAAGATTGAGAGGCAAAGAGCCTGGTTTTCGAGTTGCCTGTCACACCACACACTGAGTTAAACTGAAAATCATACTCCCCCTCCCCCCACTCCTTAAAAAACTTTACTCAGGCACAGAATAATGATAAAAAAGTATTCTGGTTCCTAGTTTCCAAAGAATTGAACATGCAGATTCTGCGAGGATAGGCAGAAATCCCAATTATCTCTTATGTAGGCGAGTGAATAGAACCGCTCTAAAGCCAAAAATTCACCACCAATAGACGAAGACTTCAAAACAAAGATAAAAATCTATTCGATAAAAATTTTCCCGCCACACCTGTTTGTCATGCTCTAATCAGGGTGTAGCAGACAAGGTATGATGAATCGTGTATATTACACGCTAGATAAGAAGGATGTGTTACTATTGTTCGAAGTTACCGCGGGGAGTAAAATTAGAAAGACAATCAGGATTTGAGTTTATCAATCTTATCTGCTGACTAATATCAATATCTACAAGGAAATCTTCCAAAAACAACCAGGATTGCAACAAAGAGTATTCGGTGTCACATTGTTTTTGCAATGCTCCGCTCAATGTGGGTAGGAGGCTGTCGCTAGGGCAATAATCGAGGCCTTGGCGGGAAGATTGGTTGTGATAGTGACGGAGTCAACAAGGGGAAGAAAGACTAATATTCTCTTTAAGAAAACGCCAGGAAATTTTTTGCATTGGGCAAAAAGGATGGGACAAATGATCTTACCTGTGCAGGCAAAAACGATGTCAGCAAAACCTAGAAATTTTACAGCAAAATAAAGTAAATGAATGAGAAATTGCTTTTTTCTTCGAAGGCAATGGTCAATGGCTCCTTTCCCCGCCCCGCACTTTGTGCCCGCGGCAACCGGGGACGATATATATCTGTTGTCAAAGGCGGGCCTGCGGGGAAACGTTCCTTGATTCTTGGTGACAAAAAAGAATCGTGACTTCCTTTTATCCTCAGAAATCAATCCAATCTTATTCAAAGAAAAGAAGACTCTCATATTGCAACAGAATCTTTAAGAAGATGTTTACAAAATAGTTAATTAAATTTAATTGCTAGCATTGCCGTTGCTGTTGTTTAGCATTGAAGGGTCTCAAATTGGATGACGTCATCGAAAGTCTGCGGGCAGGTTTGTTATGGGATTACGAAATAGAAGACCTGCAGACGCATATTAACATTCAGCTGGCCCACGAAATGAGCATCTTAGCCATACAAACGTCCAAATGATCGAAGATCCTTCTCCCACAAATGATGCGTAGATTGGGCAAAACAGGGTTAAGCTTGTTTTAGGCCGCCTCTTAATGAAGATAATCTGAATCATTTATATGTGGCAAATTCTTTCCCAATGTAATTTTTTTAGATCAACACAAATCTCCGCCCATTCTTCGTTAACTTTAGAGGGCCGAGGGAAAGCTCAGCTTGTGAGCGAAGAGGGAACAGCCACGCTTGTGAGCGAAAAAGTAGGATTTTCTTCACAGGATTTTCAACAAAGTTTCCTGAATGTTTGGCAAGATTTGTTGAGTTTTAAGAATGACGGGTGTTGGCGTGAAATAGAAGCCTCGACCTCAATCGCCAATTTCAAACAATTGTTTTGTACGCAGCGCAGAAGACCCCCAAGATTTATCTGACTGAACATGTGCTTTCCAACAATGTAGCAAGAACGAACTGTACATTTAGAAGACGTTAGAGATGAGTGGGGGGTAGGAGAAGAGTAGGTCCGCTTTATAGGAAGAAGAACATAGTTTCGCAAACTTTTAACGGAGGGGGGGTGCAAATACGCTCCAATTAGCTGTATGACTTGTTCTCACGAGAAATGCATCAAAGTTTCTAACTCAACATCAAATTCTATGCATCCACTGCTGGTAAAAACTAGTAACGCGTGCAAACTAAACGCCAAAGATGGGGATGCTCCAATTTAAAACACTTTCGTATATAGATTAAAAATCGGCACATGTAAAACTCGACTGAAAAACTGGCACTTCATGTTAAGAATACTTTGAACGTTAATATGGCAACTTGGAATGCTTATATTTTTCAATTTTTCATTCGCTTGTCTTTCTAACACGAGAGCTCTCAAAAAATATGAAACTTCATTTACTGCGTGGACTGAGGGAGGGGAGCATTTTGAGAAACGAGACCGCATTTACTGAAAAAAGAGACAGACATCCAAAGCACTCATATACAACATGAGAAGTTAAGAGGCAAATACACATTTAAACAGTAATTCAGTGCACCTTTCTGCATAATCTGTGCGAAGGTTTTTCTTCCCAATGAAAATTAACAAACTTGAACGTAGCAAAGAGAAAAACTTTGCGATGATTATGGTGATCATAATGATTATAATGAAGTCTCTCCTTGCAATAAATCATGCGCCTCACCACATGTTCACAAAGAATAGGAAAGACGGAACAGAAAGGAGAGCTTTTTTGATAAAAGAATATCCCCACGAAAAGTAATACAATTCAAACTCACTTATTCTTCGCATGTCTCACAAAGCTTGCTCTCATTACGGTTTGTTCAACGCTTATAATTTTTCCGACCTGCTAATCCACTTTTTCCTGATACTTTGCCAACGTTTGCTAAAGATAGCTATCATCTGCCTGATTTTGCTCTTTGAATACACCTAACCTAACGAAGGCTTGTTATTCATCCCTCATTCTCAAGGTTTTCTATTAACTATCAAGCCTTACACCTACATTGGTGTGAATGCAAGACAATTCACCAAAACTTTCTGTGCCCTACAATGATGCCCATCGCATGGATTCCATAGAGCTCCGAAGTCTTGACTCAGTCTTGACAAACATCCTCAAAGTCGACTCGATGGAACAAACGTAACAATAAAGCATAGATTTGTGTTCAATTTCCCACTGCGATATTTGAAAACGCTGTATAACCTAATACCCTTTCAAGTGAAGTAAAACAAAAAAAGAACAAATACTCGAATGAAAATAAGCTATTTTTGTGTAAAGGGTATGTGACAGTTCCTTTGAATTATGCTTTATTAAATCGAAACAAGAGTATGATTGTCTGGTTAGATGATCAAACAAGAGTACGTTAGACGCAGCTTGCTGCAAAACCCAAAGACATGATCTACTGCAATGTGCAACGCGTTCTTTTCGGCGTTTTCCCGCGACTCACAGCAAAGAAATGAAATTCTAAGAGGTTTTTATTTAGAAACATCCTTACAAAAAAGTTTATTAACGAACAATGCAACCATCACTGCATTAATCAAAAGATAACAGATGTTTTGCGGGAGTCCGAAATAGCCAGATCTCGTAAAGGTTCACATAATGGTAAATAAAATATCAATTCTTTGTTATGTACGCAAAAAGAACAAAAAACCAACTTGAAAAATCGCTTGAAAATTCATTTTGAAACTGCGAGGTTAATACTGTAGTAACATAAACTTGAAAAGAAAGTTCCCCAAAAATCAGTCAGCGAAAGAAAAAATATCGCTCCTATACATTAAAGCAGAGAAAACCGTGGAATTTTTGAATTTCAAGAAACATTTACTACTCTTATGAGTAAAGAAGATTGATAGATGTTGGGATTTTATTGCGCCTTCGAGTTAAAAATCAAATAACTGCCAATTTTCAGTTTTTCCAAAACAAATCTTGGCAGTGCAAATCAGTAGATATACAGTCCTGCTGAAACAAATCAATGGCAAAATTTACAAATGATTGTAAAATCAAAAGATATGAGCCGATGAATTTAAAATTCATAGGCAAAAACAATACACCTTACCTCAAGGCTGCAGAAAATCCTCATATCAAATTGCAAAATCCAAACACAAGACGTTGTGACATGAACTAATGACAACTGAGACGGATTTCTTTGATAGAGATTTGAGATTCGAGTTTCAAGCGCCACCACATTCATTCGCAAGACACAACTGCACTGACTGCACAAACCACCTCTTCATTATATACCCTGTTCGCTAAGCTACTAGTATGGCCTGCTTAAACCACCTGGTCATACATTCATAGTATGTATTCGCGGTAGCCGCGGGTATAACCGCGCTTCTTTGGTGAAGGTCTTACAACAATAGTGAGACATACAAAGACGCTGCACAGCTTCGCAAGAACAGATATGGAGCGCTGGAGGCGGCATATTTCCTTGTTCAAAACAAAAACCATTCACACCAGACACCATATTGCATAAATAACACGCCAAAACATTAAACCTCACTGGCCACTCTCAAATTACTTTCTTCTTCACATATATCATATATTTTCAGCTACAGTCTCACATATTCACTATTTTCCAGTGTCGTATCAACTGGGGTTGGTACGTGGTCTCAAGTATTGTAGTTTCCATGTGAATAGTGCCACACCATTAGAAAATTATACTTCTGTCTAAATGAAAACTGTCCTAATCTATTTCATTAAAGGTCCGGCTTTATCATAAAAGATAAATTTGCAAGGGCCCCTAAAGGAAAAAATTAAGCGTATGAAATTTTCTTCATGTTCAGTAAAATTGTATCTTTGGTATCCTTAAAATTCTGTCTCACTTCAGTACATAAATGCAAAAATCTTAAATGATGAATAAAAAATAATAAAAAAGATAATCGTTCTAGTGAAAATTACCCAATTTTGAATAATTAAGGCTAATTATGTTTCTTCTCCATAATTGTCAATTTTTGGACAAGCCCGACAGTGTATATATGTATATAACACAGAAATGTACGAGAAAGGCTTCCAGTCGAGAGAGTAATGTGGAGTCTTATGGCAAACTGACCACTTCATAGCTCAAAATAACAAACAATTACCACAAAAACGGAATTTTGAGTATATGAAATAGAGGATGGAAGGCCACTCAAGCAAGAACAAGGCTACGTGACTCCATTTGCCATAAAAGCTTCATCCCTACCCCTCTCTATAGACTATCATTGCAAAACATATCCTAACTGTTTCGAAAAAATTTTCCCAAAATTGCCCACAATGTCAGTTATGGCTACATTAGAAGTTTGGTCAAGATAACGTGTTTCCTGATAGTATCCTTGCAACAGTGAAATTTTAGGAAGTTTTTAGTATTCGATTCCCAAGATAAATTTCAGCCTATCAACCTTCTGAACTTTTAAGACAGTCCACTGTTGGACCTTACAATGAAAGCTCCGGGAATGGACCACCCAACCTGTCAAGATCATTTAAGTTAAGTGAATCTTTTTTGTAAACACATTATGGTAGTTATTCTGAATAAAAATTCTTGGATTCCGACAAAGATGTTCCAAATCAAGTACCTTATTCACTAAAAACGGTCTTTATTAATCCTGTTACTTTTGTGCAAAGTTCTGAAAGGTTTAATCTTTCCTGTATGTCATTAAAAAACCTCTTGTAGATATTTTGTCGATAAAACAAAAACGATACTTCTTATTTTTCGTTATCAAAATACTGGAGACACAAAGCGAGAGGGTGCCAGATTACTCTCTCAAAAACGAGCCTACAATTTTACCCACGTAAGAAAGAAAATATCTATTATCCAAATCACATAAAAATTTTAAAGAAAAATTTGGAAGCTTTGTGATTTCTAAGATTGAATACTTAAACCCAAGGTGGAGCCAAACTACTTTAGCAAAATGACGTTTATAGTCTAGCCATTGAACTATGTTCTGTGACGCCTTTCCATGGAAGCTTGAGCTTTTAATGTACTGCAGTTATAGCTAAAATTCGATGAATCACCAAAGCTTTGCTGGGCTCCTCTTCAGCTTCAACTGGGGTTGTCGTCGATGACGTCACATTTTCGTTACTTAACTAGATTAAATTAGGTTCCTTGACAGCTTTGACACTGAGCCTTGACCTTGGAACTTTTTGATACGAAAAGCATAAAGTGAAAAACACAATGCTACTGGCAGGATATTATAGATTAGAGACATTTACTCATCTTTATCTACACAAGGTGACTCCACCTACACGAGACCTCTACATGTACAAAATAAGATTATTGAGAGAGTATATAAAATCATAGTGATTTGAATTTTACATACATTAAATTCATCATACTAACAGCCATTTGTTTGTTCAGTTGTTAAAGCTAGAAAAATGCTTCAGAGCCATAGCTAAGCCCAAACAAGGGAAAGAGGGGGGAGGGGATTAAAAAGAGATAAAGAAAATATCAAGCATTTTTATTTTTGTCTGCTATGCCTTGGAATACTAATTGAATGCGAGGTTGCATAGCATAAAGTGGTTCCGAGAAGAAGGATTACCACTGAAATATACTGTACGCCAGAGAAATCTGAAACGTAAAATTGGGAAAAGGGATTATTCTGGTGACCTTTGCAGGGTTGATTTGTTAACATATGACTAAAATGAACATTCTCCAATAAAAAAAAATGGTATTTGGTCATCGTGGCCTCTTTCAATGGTATAATATTCTCCTCTACTCTTTAAATCTTGCTTGCAATAGCCTTCAAAATTGTTCCGTGCTAAACAATTAATGTAGTCACACCCGTACAAATTGGGTTCCGAAAATTAGATTTCAAATGATCCACTCCCTGGTACTGCATTCACGCTCAAAGCTTGCAGAATTGCAAGTCCGTGATATTTTGTTGAATGTTTTGTAATATGCAAATAATCTTTTGGTGGTACAAAACCTGAAAATGGCTTTGAAAAAAGCAAACATTTGAGTAACCTAAAGTTTTTCGTCTGACAATCTTCAGAGTTTGAAACGCCAGAACATAGATCGAAACTCTACGCTAGGAAATATATATTCAACTGGGTATATATATACAATCCACAAGTGGGTATATAATATCTAGCGTAGAGTTTTCGATCTATGTTCTGAAGTTTTAAACGAGTGTCAGAAGAAAAGCTTTAGTATTGTAATATCTTGTAATTACATCCACCAAGAGTTGTATAGACGTATCCACATTTTTATAGGGTTTAAATAGAAAAACGGGACAAGATGAACAGGAACGTGTCTCTCCTTGTTTATGCGCAGACGAAACTACAGTTTATAAAGAAGCATTTTCCATTTGGGGCGTGTCAAGATTCAAAATTTTGAATTTGAACACAAAGTAATCCATAAAACATTATTTTTATTGTTGATAACTTTTCTACATAACTTGGAAAAGAATCTGTAATTTATATGTCCCATATTTAGGACTCCTAATGATCCAGCACACAAAAGACTATACTACTTTACTTCAAACTATGGCTGCAAGAAAGCCAAGCATTACTTGCTTGCTTGAAAAATACAGGTAAATAAAATGTCAGGCTGCAGATGAAATTTGGCCCTGGCTATCATTCTTAAATCAGTTATTAAATTTCAACAAAGTAAAGACGCAATTTCCTTACGAAATTCATTCTTATGATGGTTCCTTTCCGTGGCGACGAAAATGTATAGTTCATCCGCCAATTGCTTTGAATAAAACTCTTTGAAAATAAAGCTGTGATGGAAAGGACGTGCAAAATGGATTATAAAAGGGTGGGCATTTGCTACAAACCATGAGAATTTTGGAAGCTGACCACCCCTAAAAGGTTTTCTATCTCCGAAGTTGGATCAATGATTTTACAAATATGGTTACCATGTTAACATTAGTATTGAAAAATTGCTCAACGCTCTGTCGATTAAAGCACCGTTAATCCCTGTCATATCACAAAACACCAGCAAATTAATAGGAAATACAGGCTGTTATTGCCTGACCAGATGGCCAAGGCATTTAGCGAGAATCTAAATTCAGAAATAGGTTAATTTTGAAAACGGAAGTATTGAATTTAACTCAACAATCTTTTAAGCCTGTTACATTGTGGATCCGGGCTTGATGTAGGTTAATTGATAAATACATGGTACATAAGAAACCATGGAAACATTCCATTTGATATCTCGAAGCCTAACTACACAAACTGCAAGTTGTCTCCCAACTGCTTCCCGTCAGCCCCCCCCCCCCCAGATATACGCCATTAGAGGAAAACTCTCCTTTGTTTTTCAATTATTTCTAATCTGTTCGGGGTACCACTAATTCCTTCCATTAAGGATGTCTAGAAAGCTCAGACTTGACGCGACTTCTAATAGCTAGTAACTGCAATCTGATTTTTCTATATGTAATCAAATTTAACAGAACGAGAGGTGTATTTAGAAGAGAAAAAATCTGTAATATGTAATTTGAACAAGGAGTGTTCATCATAGATAACCAAGAAGGTACAGAAAAATATGGCTGTATTTCAAATAAAATATATTTGAAAAGCAAGTGAAAAATATTGATTTGACATGAGTATGGAGTCTATATTCTATCGAAGTGTTGCAGAAGCACATATAAAGAGGCATTGATCAGTTCAACTGTATTATCGTTAGCTAAAGAAAAGCGACCTTTAAATCGGAACGTCATGTTTCTCTGCTTCAGCATTAACAATCTTTGGGATTGATAATATTTTGGTAACAGTTTTCACTTAAGCCAAGCCTTAGTGCTGACCGTTACAGTGCGGTGGCGAGTAAAGGGTAATTTAAAACACGCGAAAGAAGCCTTTCTCTAAAACACTTAAAATAAAAATTTTAGCAGAAGTAAATATGAACACGATTTCAAACGATTCTTGATTGGATTACAGTTTCAAAAGCAAATGTTTTGAAAATTTTGAGGCTCAAAGTGTGCACTGGATGTTACAATAGCGTGCCACGGTTCTTCAAATCACGCGATGGAGGCACGCTCAACGAAAAGACCAAACCCGATTAGTACACATAGGAATCACACAGGACAAGCAAATCTGTAGCACATTTGTTCTTGATGATAATGTCATCGCCTTTGATAACTATCTTATTTATCTCAAGAAATTGGCAGTTTATCAAGCGTCATTTCTTTCATATTTTTGTGGAGGAGCTGGTGGCAGAGAGGCAATGGCGTGGGACAACAGGCATGGCTCTTCTGCTTTGAAGATTTTCACATTGGAAGTGAAAATGTCTCTTGGTCAGTGTTGCCAAAATCTTCCATAGCAGAGGGCCAAAGAAGCTTACTGACACTCCTTCTTCACAAAATTCAACTTCATCGTCAACTTTATAGAAAGTAAACAGTATAGGCAATATCACTATTACCGAGGGGCAATTCACTCTTGCAAATAGCGTACGAGATTTTCTCTAAAACAAAAGGATTTCTGGTGATTTCCAGATAAAACAATAGGATTTCCACCAAAGGTGTACAAGATTTTTCGGAGTGATTTGCCCCTCGACTATTACAATTAAAATGAGAGAAAGGATCAAATGCACACGCATGAGAAGGCGATTTCACCTTCGAAACCACCGACAGTTCCATCAGTTTGATTACGGCTAGAGTCATGCAAAGCTGAACAGAACCCGTCCTTTGCATTAGACGAGGAAGGCGATGCATAGTTTAACAGATCAGCTACGGTTGATCGTAATAGGATCAGAAGAATGATCATAACTGGCTTTGCAGAAAGTTGCCGCAAATAAAGTAACAATGTAATCTATTAAGTTACAGTTGCATTGGTCCCCTGCTTCCTGGAAATATGTCACTTAGCGGCACCTTTCTGAGATTCAGAATTAG